AAAAAAAAATCAGGATCAGGGCAGGGCTGTTTTGTCTAAAGAAGAAAAGACTGGGGGAAACATGAGACACCTTCATGGCTGTAAAAACAGAGGTGTCATGAGAAAAGAGAATAAGTAGTTCTGAGAAGAAGGAAGGCTTAACCTGCAGTAGGAGAGATCTGAACCGGATGTTGAGGATTGCCAAGGAAGGTGTGGAGTCACTGACGCTGCACATTCATAAAAACATTACACAAATGTCTCTCAGGTTTAGGAACAACTGCTTGAGAAAGTCCCTTACAGGCCTATTTCCTAACGTCTGAAATTCTACATGGAAGCAGACAAACTGAAATTTATAGGCAAATGTTTCATAGTCTGTTGCAATTCAGTTTAAAATCCACACATAACTTCAACATAAGGCAGGTCAAAAAAAAATGTCTCCACACTTGACTGTCACTATTTTTTGAATTACAATCTGGATTACAATTTTAATGTAAAATTTACAGAAACTTTGAATATATTTATTCTCAGGGTTAATTCAGGACGTGCTACATTCCTTACTTAGTCACCAATAAATCAATCACATTTTCAGCTTTCAAGATGAAATGAAGTCTGGAAGTGAGTAAATACAGAGAAAGCACTGAATTCTGGTACTAAATAAACACCAAAAGTCAAAATAATAGCACAAGGGAGATTTTTGTTGAGATGCCACTGTTTTGGTCTGTTCATGCATGTTTGTTTGTGTATGTGCACATAAACAGGAAAAATACAAATTTTTCCATGCATTATATGTCTGGATGTGCAACGTAATATAGACTATTGGATTAAATTACCTTTTACCTGAATTATGTAGTGAAGGAATTAAAATGTCCTCAATTCCTGAATAATCAAGGAATCATCCATATTAAGGTCTCTACTTTTGACATCTAAGACTGCACTTGGCAATATTAGCTCTCATTAATTAGGAATGCTTACGGTTAAAAGCATTTACATTAATGACTGGCATTTTGAAGGAAAATTTGAGTGGCCTATCAGGATAAGATTATTTACACTAAGAACTAAAAAATTAGGAAATTTAATTTCTAGTTCTAACTGCATTCTTATTTTGCCTATTGGTCTATCTAAGATATCATAACTAATCTCCTTAGAGGTACCGGGAAGTTTAAGTTAACCACCTCTCAGAACAAATCTGAGATGCTAAAAGAACAAGGAGCTACTCTTTCTTCGTTGATCTGCAAAAGTAAAAGCTATACAAGAAGGGGACAATATAAATGATCAATGAAAGGGAGTCAGGTCTGAAGTGGAACAAGACCACCATTCTTCTACCACAGGAAAAACTAAGAAATAAGTGGTACTAAAGGAGGTATTGTCAAGAGTGGTAAAGGAAGACAGAATACAATTAACCAGGATGGAATATGGCCAAGAAAGAGGTCCAGGGAGCTCAAGTGGTCACGGCCATTAAGTACCACTCCACACCCACAGCAGTCCCACCCAAGGCAAATTTTTGTGAGGGCCAGATGACCAGCACAGACAGCTTCCTGTAGCAGTTGATGTCTCTCAGCCTATATACCCGTTCAGATCTGTGCTGCCTTGTACAAGAGATCTGGTGAGATTGTAAGGTTACTGCTGCGAGCCATTTTGAAGTGCTTATCAGGAAAATGCAAAATGACTAAATGCGTGTAGCCTGGGGGAGTGGGACTATTAATAGAGCCGCTGCCAACCGATAACAGAGATTGAAGGCTGCAAACCCAGTAGGCAGAGGAATTGTTCCAAAGCCAAAGGAAAAGGTTTCTAAGAATGAGAGAGGAAATCCACCAGAGTGACTGTTAAACTGATAACTAGTATAATCTGACTTAACAACCAGATCTAAGTTTTGGAAAAGGGCCAGAACTTTTGCTTAAATAATTAACTAAGATGAACGGGCCATATGCCTCAAGGTATTAACCTGTAATGGTCACCAAGAAGGGAATACGTGACTAATGAGTACTTGCTATCCCCTAATACCTCATGCCTTGCAAAGTTATTTCCACACCTGAAATCAACATGGTGAGGTCACTCCATGCCCTCTAATTAGCTATTGATCTCCATAAATACAACATTTATGCTGCACACCGAGGATTCCAGAGTAGCTACTGAAAGGACACCTAGTGGCAAGTCAACGAGTATGTCTGGAAACCGCTGGAACTGTTGAAGGTACGTAATTATAATTTGTCACAGGAATTCACAAACTGCTGTAGGTTGAACGGCAATGTCATACGTGAATTTATGTGTAAAACAGAACTTTGAAGCTTTAAGAAAAGTTGCAAAAAAGCATTCTTACAAACACTTTTTTTAAACATGGGAATTAAACTTAACTTCCTTAAAACTCAAAGAACAACATTTTACAAGGGGGATAAACACGCCTGTGTGTCCAATTTATGACTACAAATTTGAATGTCCCGAATCTCCACTGCATCAATTTTAGGAATATCAGATAGCTGAACAGAACTCGTTACAGATATGATTTGCTTGCCAAATTTCAGCATGTTAATCATTGCTTCTTAGGTCCTTCATTGTCCTCCTCTAAAATGTCCTTAGCAATTCCTTCCTGTCTTACAGGCCATCCTTCTCCCCCATGAAGAAGAACAGCCGTAGGACATAAATTGTACGTGTTTGAGCTAATTTTACTCCTTTTTTTTTTTTTTTTTTTGGCCATCCAGCCCTACAGTCACTTCTTGCCTGTGTTTATTCCAAACGCCTTTATATGTACTAATGCCCTTGTGACCAGGAGATGCCCACAACAGAAAGCTGTATTCCAGATGGAGTCATGCTGGTCTCATGCAGAGAGGGATTATAACCTTCCTGTTTAGTGACATGCTGCCTCTGGGCAAACAGACCAAAATCCACACTTGGCTTTCTTGTTTATGTCAACATATCGTATTACAAGCACAGAACAATTTGCTGACCACTGTCCCTCTTCAATTATTGTTTTTATGTTCTATTTTCCAGGTTTCTCTCTTCTACTGAACACCAGTTCTTTTGAATTAATTGTCCCTGAGTGAATTAGTATGGATATTCTAGGTCAGCTTTTCCAGATATATATATTTTTGTATTCAATTTTATAATATCTTTGCATACCATTGCTCTGTTCTCTATCTTTAATTTTTCTAACAACTCCTAACATAGTTCCATCCTGTGATTTTAAAAGCCACAAAGAAGCCATTTCTGCTCTTCTACACTCTGTCCTCACAATGAAGATCCAAACATTGGGGATAATCTTTGTTTGTTTTTTTTTTTTTTAGTTGACTTCCTACCAAATCTTCAGTTAAAAAACCCAACTCTGCCTCATTCTCCACAACACAACTACAAGGAAGTAGATGATGGCGTGACGTGAAGCCAAGGCTGCGGCTCCAGCTCTTACCAGACATTAGCACCCATTCCTTGTCCGGATCTGTTTCAAGGGTTCACCTCTCCTTCACTCCACCCTCCTGAACCTCCAGCCTGCTCTCTGTCTTAAAATGGCATGTAGTTTCCTTCCTTTACTATAAACAATGCTTTCTGTAACCTTAGTTTCACGATGTAAACATTTAAAAATAAGAATGAAGGGAACACAAACTATGTGTCCAATTAGGTAATTTGGGGATTAAATTAAATGAAGTCTCTTCAAACATGGAACATTTCAGAGTAATGAAGTCTGGCTTTACTTGTTTTACTTTTATCCTTTAAAAAAAAAAAAAAAAAAAGGACAATCCATATTAAAAACTCAGGCTGAAGAGTAGTAAAGGCAGCTGAAGACAGCTTATTCCTTGTAAATCCAAGGGAAACGAAAGCAGAGGAAGGGGCAATAACACTCAGGTATGTGTACAAAGGGGAAGAGAGGCACTCTGTAAATTGCCGGATGACAGAGGCTGGGCAGCCAGCTGCCACCGTTGACATGGGAGGCTCCTGCTATCGGTAACATCACCACCTGTAACGTAACGTCAGCTTGTAGCATGTCGTGCAGCCTGCCAAAGCCTCTTCAAAATATAGCATTATTTTTATACTAAAATTTAAAAACAAAGACCAAACCAAAACCAAAACGATAGCAACAACAACAAAAACCACAAGAGGTCAACCAACAAATATGCTTCAGTCAAAAAAAAAAAAAAAGGTCTCCCTTGTACACACTGTACCTAATAAGGGATAGTAACAGAAAGGAGTAGTAAAGAGTAGTAAAGGAAAATAACATCCATAAATAATTCTGCTGTTTTTCTCTGCAGTCCACCTATAAGTTTTAGTTAGTCAAACTCCTTCAAAATAGGCTTTTAATTCTCCTTTTCTTAAATACAGCTTTAGAGAAGATTTTAATTGTTGAGTCCTTAATCCAGATTTTGCAGATTTTGTGAATACTGCAGTAACAGAAGAAATGAAAACTTTCTTCAAATTTGGAATTCTTGTTCTGTACATCTGAACATGCATATTTGGCTTTCATTGTATGGTGTGGCAGACAGCTACAAAAACAAAGTGTAGCCTATTATAGCTTTAGTCAACACTTCAAACTTTAGATCTTGCTTATACCAAAAGAAAGTGATCTTCCTGGCTGTTTAAGCAAGGCTATTTCCCATTGGGCATACAGTAAATACAGGTAATACGGTAGTTTCTTTACTTTAACGTTGTATTTAAACAGACATTGTAAACACGAATGATAATAGCTTCAAAAAAAAGGAGCACAAAGTAGCTACAGGTATTACATCTGTCCCAAGCCTCTTTGCTAGTTTAAGTATTCTACAGTCATGTTTTCCTGTTTCCTAAAGTATGTTGAGGAAGGGTGGGGGTTATCCCATTATTTCGTAAAAAACACACAAACAGCATAGGAGGAAATGCACAACATTTCCAAAGCAACATCTCATACGCAAGATAAGTACGTTCAATAGTAGAGATTAGATCTTTCTTTTTTCACTTTACCAATATAATATGACATTTTAATTTTACTCACTGTTAGTAGAAAGCATCAATAAGCAAGAGGGAGACTTTTAATGGCATACTGATATCTTAAAGAGACCTACCTTGAAAGAAACTTTTGACTCGTAGATAGCTGACGCTAAGGCGCAACACGGACAGTTTGTCCAGCTTGGATATTATGTCAGGGGGGAAAGGCAGGAGGCTGGCCAGATGGTCAAGTTCTGCATTCAGACGGTCCCTGTGCCTCTTTGAAGGATTTGATTTTTCATTCCCAGCTGCAGGCCTTCTGTGGTGGAGAAGAGAATCACATTTTCGATTACCTGTTTTACCTCCAGGTAGTACCACCAGGGACTGAGATGTTGTCTGCAGTCAGTTGCTAACAGGTGTAGTTAATCTAGGTTCTGTGCAAATCTGCTCAGTTTCTATCCCCTGCTGAAAAGATATTTTACTTTTTGTCATTCTGCATTTGCCATTGTGCAAAGACATGGACATTGGCCTCTCATTTCACATCCACCCAGTGGAAAAAAGATGAAGAAATGATCCCTCTTATTCAGGACCCTCTGATCTTAGGGGAATGGGTGCTACCTTTGTGTCTGAGTGTACACCAGAAAAAAAAACGATTTCTCATCTATGGTGTACAAATTAGTATCTGAAGAGCAGAATAAAATAACTGTGACTAATGGATGAACCTATTTAGCACCCACTGTATTTATTTAAAGCATCTTAGTGCCCTCCATTTAATGACTCAGAATTAACCCGTAGCTCAGGAGATAATCAAGAAAAGAGCCTGTCTTTGGACATGATAAAAAGAGTGTGGGAAGCAACGTGAAGAGACATTCTTTTGCTAGGCTCAAAACTCCCATGAACGTTCTCCAATTTATCTTTTGTATGTCAGTAGTAACGAAGGTAAGAATTTGGTTTCTCTCTTGAGAACATTCATATTCCTCCCAAAACATTAAGATTAACGTTATTCAGATTTCAAAACCAAACACTCCTACTCCAGCCCCATAGTGTGTCCCTCTCATGCAGTGAACAGGACCAGATATTTCAGAACAGTTGTGAAAATGTGCAAGATGAAATGCATCACCAGCGAGGAACGTGTCAAATCAAAGTTGCACAGGCAAAATGATGAATTTTAAACTACTCAGTTTTGGGGTGTCCAGCATGACAGCAAGGGGTGATCAGTGGCAAAGCACAGACTTGTCACATAAGCACCAAGACATTTGCGGTGAGGTCAAGAAGGCTGTTATCTCCAGCAGACAGCCATTGCTGGACAAAGCAGTAGTCACATGCTTCATCCAAAAATAAGCCACAGGCCACTGGAGCTGCAAACTGCATGAATACACAATCGCCAAGGCCTTACAGCAACCCAGGGCAGCAGCTGAGCTAGCATCGCCCCGGGCACTTGGTGTTGTGTCTGATGGTCTCCACCACACTCCCACATCACCCTTTTTCTGTTTGGTATTATGGCACGTTGCCACATTTCTCCTGAGGCCCTTTCTTCAGAAGAGACATTTAGAGAAAGATCATGGGGGAAAAGAGTGGAAAAATACTGCAAGAATGGGAAATGGTGGACAAGGAAAAGATGGGTGTGCTAACAGCTTCCACTTCCACCTAAGCAAAGGCAAGAAGCTTAAGCTTGTGCAGCTTAGCTCCAGTGGAGAAACAGAGTGCATCTAGTCACTTGTAGCACATTTCTGCTGCAGTTTAACCTGCTACACATTTACTCTATTTTTCAATGAAAATTTTAATTTTGAGCATTAGTATTTCACAAGGTGGTCAAAGGGTTAAAGTACAACATACTTTGAGTGTTCTCTTCTTATGCAATCTTAATTCAGCTTTTTAAGTAGTTAGAAGAAAAATATTATGTTCAGGAATTAGTAAAAAAGATCAATGTTATGTACATGGGATTGCTGACTTTGCTACAGAGTGAAAACCTGTCAAGTCAAACCAGATTTGAAAAAATCATTGCTATCTTTGTGAGCATTCAGTTCAATTTGACAGGATAGCATCAACACACAGACAGAATAAAGAAATATTCAAGATAGGTGTCAATGAAAACACATAATTCCTTATTTGTCATTCAAAGTTGCCTAAAATGGTACACGGTCCTTCAATAAGGCAATGAGCTGCTTTCAGAGGCATGGGGGAGATTTTATGGATTGGGGATTTCCTCTATGAGAGAGAGAAAATATCCAACAACTAATGCAATCCACAAAGAAGGACTACTCTTTGTTCATAATTGGTACTAACTTTTTGGAGTCAATCCTGAAGCTCAGCCATTCTCAGTTTTGACACCAAAAGGATGTCTGATGTGTGGAGAGCAATAATTTCGTAGGAATATAGCCTATAGTTCAGCTTAAGCTAAAGAACATAGACTTTTACTCATTGCCCTTTACACATGGCAAACAAACTGAAGTAAGGAAGCAACTTAGTACAGAAAAAAATAATTCCAATAAGGAAAATTAGGCCAATGAGTCCAAAAGATCAAAATTTTCAAGAGTAACATGGAATAGAAATTGTTCAAGCCTATTTACCATATAAACTATCAACTGCTCTATGCCAGAGAGGCATGGCAAATACATGGATTCCATTTGTACTAAGTAAGAGATCATTTGTCTGGAAATTACACGGAATGGTGTAAAGACTGCAAGAGAAAGTTCAGGACGGAGTCTTCCTGAAAACTCAAGGAAATGATTCAGGCAGTGAGTAAATCTAAACAAATGGAAGTTTGATGCAAATGGTAACTAGGTGCCAAGTGGATGAGATTTAAAACAATGCAAGTTCCATGGAAAGGCTAACTTAGCTGTCCTACAAAAGAAAACAGCAAGCAGGAAAATTCTTCAATGAGTTGTTTTGAGGTGAATGGAAATTCTAGCCCTTATTTTGAGCTGAAACTAGCCATGCTTGTCGTGTTTGTGTTAAAACTGATTCTAAAACTGCATAAATTGGGTCCTAAGGAACACAACACTCATTCTATAATTCCTCCTTTAATCTGCTTTTCATACACTACTACTACAATAAAGTGGCACCTGTACTTAACACAGTAAAGCCGGCATTTCCTCTTTGTGTTGTTAAATCATCCAAATTTTGCTCTGCATTAACAAGAATGGGTCCCTGCATGGGATCCATGCCACCAGTCCCTGTTCAGAAGGAAATGAGTGTGGGAGCTGATGCAGAGAACGTTTTCTGTTTCATTGGTATGTCAGGCATTGAGCCATTTGTGCTTCAATGATTCAATGTACCCATGACCCGTGGACTGCCACTTCTGTAAACCAGTTCGGAGAGCTTGCAGAGGAATTTCCTGCAGCTACAGCTCTTGTCTGCAGAGCATGGTATCTGCTCCTCCACTACCTGCTGCCCACTGAGGGAGCCCTGCCCCTTGAACAGAAAGTTCACTCTGAAGAAGTTTTCAAAGTATGCTGAAGTGTTAAACCCATGGAGGAGGATCTAAACTGAGAAAATCTAATCATCTAATAGGATGGGAAGCTTTCAGTAAGAAGGGAAAGGGAAGAGAAAGACCGTGAGATGCAATAGATAGACTAGGCACAAGTAACAGCAAGATGATTATCATGAACCAACTAACCGGCACCCACAGCTGCTGAGCTGTGCTTGGGCACTGCATCGATAGCCTGGCACAGCTGAGCTCCAGTGGCAACTGGCCATGTGCAGATGCTCACTGTCCCCTACAAGTGAAAAGGATTAAATGAGAAAAATCTGGTTGAAGGAAAGGTGACCCTTTTCCACTGTCCACCTCTTCTGAGTCTTCACGGCAAGAAAAGGGGAAAGCAGAACTAATGGTCACGAAGACATCATCCTGGCACAGCAGACGAGAGGTGGGATAGTGTGACACCAAGTAAGAGGAAGGGCTATGCCACAGAGGGCCTTAAAATGAGAACTAAGAAACAGGAGAGAGATGCACCTCCTGAGGTCTCTGTTTACCCTGGCACTGATACAGTTCTGGCTCAACTGGGCAGTTTGGAGCAGTTGTAGATACACTCAGAGCTAAGGCAGCTGAACTTGCCTTTAAAGAGCTGTAAAACATTACAAGAAATGTTTTGCAGAGAGAGAGAGCTTTACAAGTTGCCAGGGTTTGAGATGAAAAGTGGATGAATCTCAAATGGTAACTGTCCTGACGCATCACTCCAGCATCTTTAATATGAATGTGAATTTCAATGCAGTGATTGTAGTTTGAGGTTAAAAACAAGATCTCTTTAGTTTTCACATGCTTGAGTTACTAGTAAAATGTTGGGTTTCCACAGGAAACAAACACTTAAGGAGAAAATATTTCCTTCACTCAAAATACTCCATTTTTCTGGATGAAAAGCATATCTGATGGAAAATATTCAACCAGCCTGAGCTCCAGGTGTTTGAACTGGTTCCATAAATGCCAAAATCCTTTAGTGTAGACCACATTTAATGGGGCTTGTTTGAAAGCTGTCTGTGACTAAAGGAGAACAGCTAGGATTTTATAATTATTTCTATATATGAAGGTCAAACTTAAACCTGATGTACTGTCTGAAGAATGGCAACCTAGTGAAGACAGTCCCTCCCAGTAGAGAAGACTGAAACATACTAGCTCTTGCAAATACAAATTTTCTACACGTTTTTTCATTGTCATATGTTTCTCTGCATTCTCCTGCGGAGCTTCTTCATATGTTTTCCTCTTTATTCTGTAAAGCTACCTCAGAATACAGTTGGTGATGTCCTGTCCACGAATACTTAAGAAAATTACATCTTCTGCTCAGACTAGCACCCATGAATCCCTACAGAGAGAGAAGTAGGACAAATCCGTAGAGGAAAATGTGCTATGCTATTAAACTAGACAAGTTCTACAAAAAGCAGCACAACATGGATCAAAAATCGTGGTTGAACATGCTATTAAATAAATAGGATATGCCTATCCTTCTAAATTCAAGATAAATTATTTGAGGCTGGTAAGGAGACCTCATAGTCCTGAAATGTCAGTAAGACCCATAGGACTGAATGGCATAGACTGTGAAAGGAGCTCTGGACTAGGTAAGTCAGTCATGGGCATTCAGAGCCCCGTTAGAGCAGGGTTAGGAAGTCCCTGAATGAGGGAATGAGCACAGGAAAGGCTTACCAGACACCAAGACCACAAAGAGATAAGGTTTGAGGAAGAGACTAGTGTTGCTAGGAAGTGAGAAATCATCTTCAGCAAGTGATAAGTAACTATTCACAGAAAATAGAGGACAGTCTCTAATGCGGGAGCTGCGTTATAATGACTCCAAGCATATGATCTCCCTTATTTAACCAAAACCAAGTTTCTTCATCAAAATTGTATATATCCTGGGTGGATAGGCTCGTGTTCAGGTACCAGCACTGCCATCTCGTAGCACAGATATTTTCAAAGTAGCACTACTTGCAATGGCTCAAAAGATAAAAACCTTGGTTTCCTCAAATTCATAGAGAATCTGCCTTTGATTTTGCTGAAGCCAGAATTTCCTAGAAGGCTCTTGAGGATACTTAGATCCTTTGATAGTGGGTAGCTTTCTTAGCCATTGCTTTTACCTAGAAGTCATCTCAGTGAGAAGTTCTAGCTAATATACACACTCCAAACATGAAGCTTAATGTTCCTCAAAGCAACTGCAGTGCTCCCTCCTTTCCCACAAAAGTTATGATTCATAAACAGTTCTGCACAGAGGCAATCTCATGTACTGGAGAAGTTCCACACCTCATGCATGTATGAAGTATCCAGATGCATACTTGAACAGTAGTGCAAAAACGCTGCATACATTTTGGGTCTAACACTCAGGTGTTGCAGAAAGATTACTGTTCTTCATTCATCATCTTTGTCTATTGAAATCCTCACCTGTGATGTATTTTACATTAAAAAAAAATATATCTTTTTTTAAGTGGCAACAAGTGGTTCGTGTGCAAATACTCTCCAAAATCCAAACAAAATCAGCAGTCTTCACCTAAACTTTCAGAGAAACTCCCCTTTGACTTTAGACAAATATATACAATTTTAAGCCAAGTGGGTTATTTTAGGAGCTCTGCTTTAATTACCTTCTCATCCTTAAATTGCCTGCAAAGACCACCAGCACTAGTTCACAATTTTAACATGCTACAAATGTGTTTCATAATCAAGTATAACTCAGAAGATGTGGAATGATTATATCAGAAGGCTTAATCTCACAGAGTGGTTTATGGCAAACTCATTTTACATTTGAGTTATAACATACTTTTTTCCTGCAATTTCAAGCATCATTTTAATACCATTGCATTTTTTTTTCTTCTTTGCCTTCACACATACAATTTCTATCGCATTTTTCTTCTGATGAAAGTGATTCCATAGTAAATAGTGGCTTGAATATGATGTGTTCTTTATGCAAAAAGTGAGTCACCAGTCTGCTTTTTCAGTTGGCTGAACTGACCCACTTTCCAGACTCACATGTGTTGAACGTAGTGATGCCACAAGCAAGGCTAAGCCAAGGAAGGGGAAAGGGGGCCATACCAGCATGCTGGTGCCACTCAACACACCGCTTCTTCCTGGCTGACAATTAGTCCACCAGTATCTTCTGCCTAGGAAAAAACACTGAGGTGCACACCTCAACAACCACCAGCCACCTTCTGGGACAGCCAGTGATGGGTAAGGATGCTCTGAACCACGCTCAGCATCGTTTCTGAAGCCACTGGAAACCACAAAGAGACAGCCTCTGGACCAGGAGTTTCTCACTGCAGTGAAAAAGATTGGGTCTCCCCTGGCTTGGCAGACCATGGGATGTGGGATTCGTCCTGCTGCCTCATTTCTACCACATGCATTTGGAGAAAGGTGCAACTGCCTCCTGATGAATATGATACTTAACTGTTTCTGAATGGGTTTCCTCCTTTTCCTCCCAGCATAGAGGCACTCCCCCGGAGGAATCATTGTTTTGATGCTGAAAAACAAAAGGAATAGGTGTCTTAGTTCAGAGGTTTCCGTGTTTCATACCACTGTACAAAATGACAGCACCAGGAAAGTTCATGTGAGGAAAATGTTTGTTCCTTGAGTGTGGCATTCAACAGCACTAAAAAGCACAGTGGCATTAGTTAAGATAGAAGCTTAAGGCTTATTCCAATTTCCTACCTTAATGCTATTATAATATTGATGTTTATATTCAATTTTCATTTTTTCAAATTACGCATACTATACATGGTATAAAAATGGGTATAAAATACATCCTGTTTACTCAATATGCAAATATATATATATATATTTTTCCTTCTAGGTTAATTTTTAAATTCAGCTAAGCAAATAAGAATGAATAATACTACCCATCATCTTTTGCAGGGAGGATTTCACAGCTTTTTTAATACACGAGAATATTGCCTTCCATTACTGAAACTGTGATAAGTAGGATGCCATTATTCAAATTAGCATTTGTCCAGGTCCTCACACCCTCATTTTTAAAGACGGAAAGTAGATCTGTTGGCAGCTCAAGAAGTGTCACACTGCGCTACGGTTAGCGCTGAGGACCAGATCCCAATGTAACGCTGATGGAGGTGACAATTTTCAGACAAACTATTGCTCTGTTTGGGCATGTTAGACATTGCAAGGTCTAAGAGAAGTCTTTGTGTTCAGTCTGTTCAAATCTTCCGGAGATTAGCCAAATAGCAAAGTCTCTTGATTTTCTGTCTGAAAGAGTATTTTAGTCTCACTGTATGCTCACAACAATGGGTGTAGATTGCCTGAGAGGTTACTGTATCTCAAGAGTATTCGCTGCTTTGTGCAAGATGTGAAATTAAGGGGACCTTCTATGTCACTGAATCAAATCCCATGCTATTGAAGACAGCTCTGTCATATAAAGCAAACCATAAGCTTAATGAACTTAACTTAAAAAAACTCTTTAGAGGTGTTTTGCTTTTCATCGAAAGACAGCTTTCTGATAACCAAAAACCTTACGCTTTCCAGCTTAAATTTGTTCATGGTCATTTTATACCCATTTGTTCTTCTGCCAACATTGTCTTTTAGTTTAAATAGCTCTTCCTCCTCCATTGTGTTTACTCATTGGCGTATTTTTAAATATCAGTCATATCTTCAGCCAGCCTTCATTTTTTCTATTCTAGGACAACCCAGACTGTTTCAATCCCCTCTCGTGTTACAAACTCCTTATTCTTCACATCATCTTAGGAGCCTTTCTCTTTATTTTACGTTTTCAATTAATCTGTCTAAAACATGCATAAACAGAATCATGAACAGCATATTAATTAAAGTCTAACTGCATTTCATATGTGTATATATATATGCATTAACAAACCATTAGTTTTTTATGGGAACTATCTCACTTGATATTAGTGTGACTGCATTTTCCTTTTTCATAGCCGTTATAAAACTCATGGAACGCAGTCACCCTGTGGTTACCTACTATGCACATTTTTCTGTCTTTGTGCATAACTTTCAACAAATAAATTCACAATTTACGAAGGAAATCTAACTTCTAGAGTCCGCATAGCTGGCCACCTTATTCATACAATTCATACAATTGGTTTCTATTACGTGAGAATTTTATCCACTTGTACCATCGATGGTGCAAGCAACTAAGTTTATTAGTACATTCCTGGTATTACATGAAATTTCTTAGTAAAAATAAGATTGTCTCCAAACTGATAGTTGAGGAACAATGCTTGTAGTTTCCCTCCTGCTCAGTCATTTTCCTTCCAGCACATGTTGTTGATCCAGTTCCTTCCTCCAACCCTTTCAATTCTTGTACTAGTCCTCTGCAGCACAGTATCCTTCACTAAATTCAGATAGGTCTACAGTATTTCTCTCCTCTGGAAAATCAGCTATTTTATTATCAGAAACCTATTAGGTTACCTTGGCAAGATTATCTAACTCTACATTTCATTTTTATTCCATTACACAAATAACCATGGTCATAAATTGTTCCTTCCTTTAGAATTTGTTCTAAAATATTTCACACTATAGAGATTAGAATAACAGGTCAGCAGTTGTCTCCTTTTAATTACAGCTGATGGTGGTAGTCACTCTCCACCAGTCACTCTCCATTGGGTGCAGCATCAGGTATATAATTCTTCCCAAAACACACAAATAAGTTTGGTTTGCACTGTTGCTGTGATGATTTCATGTGAAATCAAGCATGTGAACTGCCTGGCCACAGTCTACAAGGGATTGAATGCAGTGCAATAAATACTGCTCCAGATTAAGAAGGTTTGTTTATCTGGCAGGCTTTGCTTAGGTAAAGCCTTCTTGCCACCTTCAAAGACCTAGTTAGGTTAGATTAGCCTAGAATCCCATTTTCTGCAACAGTCTGCCAGTTTGAGCTCATCTATCTTGGTGGGTTTTCTACTTCAGGGGGAAGCTGGAATGGCGTGAAGATGCTAAAGGAATTGCTGTAGCTTCTTGTGAGACATTACATTAAAAGACATTTTCTTTACATTGTAATATTTTTGTGTTCTGAGTCCTTCCCGTTCATAATATGAATCTGTGACTCATAGTTCATGTTTCAAAACAGTGTCACATGCTAGACTTCCCTTCTCTTGCCTTTATGAGTAAAATTAAAAGGAAGAAAAAGACTTGGACAGCGTAATTCAACTGAAAACTGAAAGTTAAGACTTTATAGAATTTCCCAAAAGGACAATATTTTAAAACCCACTCTGGTTCAGCTGATGAATATGGGACAGCAACTAGAAGTAGATTAAAAAGACCTCAGTATACAGACAACTGAAAGGCAGGAAATAAATAGCAACCAATATAAGCTAGAACTTGTGACATGTAAAAAGTTGGTTAAGAAAGATAAAAGACCAAAGGAAAAATCACAAATTGAAAGGATAAAGAGAAAAAAATAGCTTGCTTTTTTAGATGAATATTATGGAAAAAAAAAATGTGTACAGAGAAAAGGTAGATTTATTCAACAGATTTATTTCCAGTCTTTTTTGAAAAGAAGGAGACTCAAGTAAGAAAAAACCATGCACTCTTCGGGCTTTCTGTAGGAACTTTCCACAGAATTAGGACAAAGGGTTACCACAGCAACATGGTATGGAGCACTGCCTCAGCAAGTGAACACCAACGTCCTAGATATGTATACAGGCAAGAGTTACTTCTGCTACTACTGCTACTCTCCACCACTGGGGTGGCACAACCCATTTGCACAGCTCTTTCCCTAGAAGCCCACCAGCTTCACATGTGAGAAATGGGAAAAGGTTTGGGGGGACAATGCTCAGCTGCTCAGCACAGTTGTGCCCTTTTCTTTCTCTTTCCTTTTCCTTTCTCTTCTTGCAACACTTGAGAGTCCTCACATGCTCTCCCCTTGTTTGAGGGAGGAAGAAGATGAAGCCACAGCAGCAATGTTCTGCTCTGCAGCAGCAGGAGAGGGGGCTTGCAGACTCGAGGAGCTTCAGGAGGAGGAGAGCTAGGAGTGAAAGGAACAAAATAGCTGGGCTGGGAAAAAGCAGATGTGGGCCATGATCATTCACTTTCTTGTGTCAGATGCTTTTAATCAGTGATGCCATTAAGTTGTAATGAATCTCTGAACACTGAGGAATCCAAAGGTCTGAAAGACAGCTGCTATATGACAATATTCAGAGAAGGGAAACATAATGATCCAGCTAACCACCGGATGGTGACATTAACATCCGTCCCAAGCAAAATATCAGAAAAGCTGATAAGAAAGATGAATAACATCACTTAATAGAGTTCTACGGAATATCATGCACTTTGGAGGGAAACTTACAGAGAACTTATCAGATCTGGCTGATGAAGGAATTTACTGACACTAATAAATTATTTAACTCAGTAGCACAACATTCTCATTTTAAAAGGCCACAATGAAGTATTATAGAGTACAGTTTAAGTAGATAAATAATTAATCAAGTGACAGATCCAAAAAGGAGTAATCACTGAGAAAATACTGATAAAAAAAAAAAAAAGTTGGTTTTATGAAGACCTTGCAGGCATCAGGGCTCAATGGAAAACCAGCAATGATAAAATTTGCAATTATAAAAATGTAAATGAGTGGTCTTAAGCATTATTTTCTCTATTATGAAATAGAGGAAGATGGAGTGCCTGGTAGTCTGTTTCTGTTTATCCCCAATGCATTTTAACACAGTCAAACACAAACACATCTCAGAAAAGGGAATGCAAGTCATTGCTACTGCGTGCAGACTGCATCCTGAAACGGCAGTGATTCTTGAAAGAAATTAGGGATCAAGGTAAAAAATGAATACAATCTATACACTGAGCGCCAAGGGGAGAGCTGCTGCAAAGGTAGTTAATACAGCAGCTGAACCGAGTGAAGAGATTTTACCTCTGTTTACAGATACGATGAGGCTGGTATTGGAACAGTGTGCACAGTACCCGTGTGTTTTTCAAATACTGTTAGAAATGGGAAAGGGCAAGGAAAGAAAAACACAAAAATACTTGCAGGCTGAAGAAACTGCCTTGCACAGAATGAGTTCAGCCTACTTCCAAATCAAAAAGAATTTGGTGACTTGAATAAAGTACTATCATGGGGAAGACATGGGTGCTGAATTATTTTAATCTGAAACACAGCAAGCGCTTATAAATAGAAGCTGAAGCCAGATACATCCAAATAAGAAAAAAAGGCATTAATCTGTAACATTGTGAGTATTTAAACACTGGGGCAAGTTACAAATGATTTAGTGGATTCTCCATCCCCTGCTGCCTTGAAATCATTGTTAGATGTCCTCCTATATACAGTTTGTCCTAACAGAAGTTATGCCTAAGTGAAATACAAGCAGTTGGGCTGAATGCGGGCATTCTCAGAAATAAAATTAGGTAGCCTTGGCAGCTATGAGAGGTCAAATCACATTATCCGATGGCCTCTCCTTTCATGAAACGCTATGAATCATTTCCTAGCCTGAATGCGATCACACACCACGCAACCAATGTCCGAGCTGCATGAAAGGGCTGTGCAAACCA